TATTTCCAAAAAAAAAAAAAAAAAAAAAGTCTTACCGAAATAGGTAATAATAATTGAGTAGTTCTCGAGATTGATTTTCGCTAACGTACAAACGGGCCGACGGGGTCGGTTGTTGGAGGCTCGAACCTTCGATAGGCGCATTTCCGACTGCAATCGTTTTGTTAATACGAGCACGTTGTAACCGAGTCACTCGCGAGTGTGTAAGGGTATTTAAAACCCGCTGTTCTCTGCGAAATCTGAGCGTGGAAATGGTTGGCGAGAGGGCGGAAAGTTGAAACCCCCGCGAGGCACACCCTTAATACTTAAACAATGCGTATACGAAATGTCGTCCTCCCGGATTCGTTCGCAGGGATCTGTACAAAAAACACCCTCCTCCCCGAACGATGACATGGAAAAAATTTAACCAACATTTTACCACTTCATACCGCCAACAAATTAACATTTTCTTTTTCTTTTCCGAGTTTGCATTCATTCGGTCCGAGCTTGAGAGTCGCTAAAACTATCCAAAAGTAGCGGGAAAAACGTATGCGCGTATAAAACAGATTCAATTCAGTAGTCTCTATTTCCGGGGGAAATTCGACTAAAAATTATAAAAATAAAACGACGTCAATTAGTTAATTAACTAACCGGCTATAAACAATTTAGTATTAAACATTTCAAAAGTTTATTTTTGAAATTGAATTCGGTTAATATGATTATGGTCTCAGGGTTCGTGGATTTTCTGAAAAAATTAAGAACACAATGCATGTGTCGCCTATGTAAACCGATTGAGTTTTATTACCAGAACGAATCGACCTGTTATCAAATTCAAAGCAAAGAATATTATGAACGGAGACGAAAAAATGTACTCGTGTCGTACGACTGAACGTAGGGAATATCAAATAAAAATGATTAATTTTAATTCGAAATTTCGCACACGTTATCGAGTGAAAAAAAAAAAAGAGACAGGCGTATAATCTTCAAACCGTGAGTGAGCTATACTGTTGAAGACAGGAAATTGAATAAGGTGTACACGGGGAGATTACATTAGGGCGTAGGGTAATACAGTTCGATAATACCGAAAGCGACAGTAAATAATGGCAATCAATAAACGACTCTGAGCGGAGCTCGATTAACTGCAGTTTGCAGGAAAGTTTATGTATTTTATTATATCGTATTAGTCGTGTTTTTTTTTTTCCATTTTAGTCTAGGTAAGCACCAAGAGGCCAGAAATCGAAAAAAATAAAATCGACGACGTACGTGTCGTCATTTTTTTTTTTTTTTTTATTAATTTTTAAGAAAAACTGCCGGAAACCTGATACATTTTTCAAATAAAGTATTGCCGGACGAAAATGCCGCATCTTTAAAAGTACTTGTACGGTATGAAAAATATAGGTCAATTTTCCCGAACCGAAAAAATGTACAAAATTTCATATTATTATAACTCATTTATCTTTCACGCTAGACTATTATAGAATCTGAACATTGTTTTCGTTAATAAACACGAAAATCAAAAATTAAAAGCCAAGTAATAAGTACAAGTATTTTGGCTTTTTATCTTTCGACTCGTTAACGCCCAGCAGCCCTGAGTTTGCCGATGTTTTTTTTCTGTCGATCGCGGGAACGTGATTTTGTTCACATTATATTAGTATTACGTTGTATTTTGTGTATTCGGTAAAAGACAATTCGCATGAAAAATGGCGCGTTGCGAACAGAACA